CGAGGAAAGAAACTGTTAGAATTGAAGTGGCGTTTGCGTCTAGCTAGTTCTAAAGTAAAACGGTGAGACCTAAATGCCAATCGAGTAACACGCTTAAATTCATGTAGTCAGGGCACCAGGGGAAAATCACATAGAAGTTTCCATGAAATTATTTGTAGAACAGACAGAAAGTCATGTTGTGAGAAAATGACTGAAGTCAAGATGCCCGACCACAATCAATTACATCACAGATTCTTTGAATTTTTTTTTTTAAATCTCAAAATGTACGACAGCAACACTAGACAAGATATGACAAAAGTATTCAATGCATGGATGAATGGTAGATTTGTAAGTGTGCAGGATGGATTGAGGAGAAAAAGATTCTGGTATGACACAGTGAACCAACTTTCCTTGCAGTAGATGCATCTATTGATTCATTGTAGTTGTAGAAGGCGCAGTGAGACGCTCTCCTGGAGTCGAGCATCAACCATGCTGATGGTGAGAAGGGAAGTTACTCTATGGTAGTTAATTGAGAGCACTTTCCTTGCAATCGAAGTAGTAATTAATTCGATATAGTTGCTCCAGTTCATCTAAGTGGAAAAGCCGACAAGACGTGGAGTGTTGATCTCCAGGAGTTTTTTTCACCAGCCATGCTGATGGCGGGCAGTAAAGTTTCTTTTTGGTGATTAAATGAACAGTTTTTTTGTTGTTGTTGTTGTTGAGGCATTAAAATTTTCAATTCAGTTTTTGCCCCGTGCAGTGTCGTATCATTTAACCATAGTTCTGCCTCAGAAGATTGATTCATAATTAATAGCAGTGAAATATGTACTTACTTTCCGAAAACACTAATAGAAGAGATGATCACCTAATTATAGATGCAGTTTCATCCTATTCAACATGGTTCTGCCTTGGTTTATTGATTCATCGTTCATAGAAATGGAACTTTTTTCTGAACACTGTAATATCGATCTTTCTCTTAGTTGTTACACAGTTCACCGTTTGCCTGAATGTGTGTTATTACTTGATATGTCTTCATAGTTTTGAAAATCTATCTTCATAATAAAATTTCTTGAGACGATTTCTTGTCTCTGTTGGTCAAGCTTTGTTTTGTTTTGTTTTTTTTTTTGTGTTACGCGCCTTTTGGCCACCATTTTTGCCTCTGTATATACAAGTTCAATGAGCTTTGTTACAGATTTACAGACAATACGCTTTGCGACGGATCATTGACGTGTTCGGTAGATGTTTTGTCTTTTTCGATCCTTGCCCTAAGCGATGGTAGCAGTTTCTGCTTTACTTACATCGATTTTTCTTTTTTAGTAAATGTACTTTTTCTTGCCCTCCCAGATATGGTGGATGTTTTTTGCATCTCTTCTCTGATTTCTTACTTGGCACGACTTTGCATTGCTTCTTATACATTTATTTACGCTGCTTCTGGTTCTGATATGTTTTTGTTTTTTTGTTTTTGTTTTTTCGCAGCCACAGCACACGGATTTGCTGGTATCGCAACAGCTATCGTCACAGACAGAAGAATCAACGAGTTCAAATTCTCGCCTAGTTTGTTGCGTTCACTTTCTCTCAGATGCCCTTGAAAGAGTCATGACTTCATCTCTTCTACTCCCCAGTTATGGGTTAAATAGCAGTGTAGATGGGTTCTATGCCCTTGGGTAACAATTAGACTAAGATAAGTTAAATTCTGAATTAAAAACTAGAGAACCATATTAAAAACAAAAGAAAGTTGTAGAGAGCCATGATTGCTTAAGGTTTGAACAGACATGCCTTAAAAATATATCTTGCAGTTCTAGATAGAATATCAAGATTTATGTTTTAATATAGTTTTGGCGGGCTTAGGAAGTAATACCCTCGAAGCTTTCACTAGTTTCTTGCCTCGCGAACGAACTTTACTTAACGGCACCCTGTAGTGATTATCATCACCCTCACACACATGCATACATACATACAGATCATACGACAAGCATTCATTGGCTATTCTCCTCAAAACTAGCTTGCTGATTGGTCAATTCCGACCAATAAATTCGCCTGCACGCAAGGAATAATTTTTCCGCGCACAAGCTTCGGAGCCTTTCACGTGAGGCACAACCGTATATAAACAAAACACGAGTAAACCTTCTCTCTCCGTTTTCTTTTTCGTCTCCTTCCTTGCTGCCAAGACGTGACCTTCAAGAACTCTCGTCTTGACCTTGCGGTCTGACGTTAAAGAACATTACCTACATTCACGCAATTACGAACTCTTAACTCTTCTGAACTCTACCAACTTTTCTCGCTCACATTCCCTAACATGCAACAGGAACTTTATTCTTCTAAAACTACAGTTTAATAATGTTATAGACAAGCGTATGGTTGCAAGAAAGAAATACGACAACAGTAGAAATAGATTTACGTGGTTTATTTCAACAGGAACGTAAAGGTTTAGGACAGCTACCTTGGTGTGGTAAAGTTCATAAGCCGGCTTTCGGATCTAGGTAGATCTCTCATAGTAGTTCACACATGTTGACGGTGGTTGACGCTCTCCTGCTGACAGCTGGTAAACGTGACCGGTCTCCTTTGTGGCCACCTGTTGACTGCCTGCTGAACTTCCCTGTGACCCCTTTCATAGCATTTTTTTATGGCTTAACAGGCTCGAGAAACGAAGCGAGTATAATTAGGAGGGAAGCATTTTTATTGGACGAAAAATAGAGCACTTTAATTATTATTTTATTTTTCGACCGGAACACGTGTGTCGGAAACATTTGTAAAGAAAGTTAATGGTCATTTTGTGACGGGGCTTTGTCCCGTTCACATCCGGTTCTCGCTCTTGAGTATTTGCCTGTAAATCAGCCGAGATATGTCATTTTATTTTATAACAATAATTAATTCAACTTCGTGAGCTCCGGTACAAAGATTTCCCAAATCTAAGAGACGTAACTCTATCAAACCTTTAGCTTATATGCATGTACATCAAAACAAATAAATTCAAATGTTATGTTTTGAACCATTACGTTCTGTCTTGTATTTTTGCTATTTTACATCAAATATAAATTGCATTGTGACCACCACATTTGATGGTGACCTCCAGCGTCTTTGCTTATTCTTTTTCACGTCATTCCTAATCAAAATTAAATAAATGTGGTGGGATCCACTACATCTAATTGACAATCCTTCACATTTTTATTGCTGACCCGTCGTTCGTCGCGGATCTCGCTGCAACCCTACCGTACCCCACTGGAATCTGATCCTCTTCTGGTAAGAATGGTGGTAGACTGTGATATAATCCTTTGATTCCCTCAGATTCTGTTTTGAATACCACACAAACACAGTGGCCAGACCGATCAACCTGGAAACGATATTCGCGGTGGGATCGACATCCGACTAATTTGCCATTAAAAGCTGATAAATATCAGAAAAAAATATGTATTCTTTTGATATTTTTATAATGGAAAATTGCTCTGAGTACATACTGACTTTTTCAGAAAGGTTTTCTCATCTTAATCTTTCCTTAAGACATCACTTGTCCCCCTCCAATAGCGAGAGAATAACCTTTTCTCACTTCTGGCTCTAATAGGCTTAATAGGTTTCGGGACATCTGCGATTATGGCTAGGTTTCACTCCAAGCAAGGTAATAAAGCCACTAAGACACAAGGGTTACTGGGTGTTAGAGAATATAAAAATGATTATAAAGAAGAAATAACATTACAAGAACAAGAATTAAGAAGGCAGTAGATAACGATTGACATTGCATTTAAATTTTTGAAGATCAAAGTTGATTGGGAAGCAATAAGTCGGAAGAGAATTCCACAAGCAAGAAGTGCGATAGAAGAAACTGATAGCATAGAACTTACGGTTGCATCTAGTCATTTCAACTGTAAAATTATGAGAACTTGCCACCAACCTAGCACTGTGCTTAAATTCATAAAACCTAAGTACCAGTTCATTAGAAAAATTACTATGAAAGTATTTATGGAAAAGTCATAGGGGAGCCACGTTACGCCGGTGGGAAAGTGATTGTAGTCAAGATGCCAGGTCAGGACCAATAATATTGCAGAATCTGTAAATATATCAGGGCAGCTGTATTCTAAACAAAGACGAATGGTAGACTTATACATTTGTAAGATAGATTCTGGTGAGAAATTTGTTTATCACGACACAAAGAACCAATTTTCTTAGCAGCAGACCGAGCAAATGATTCGATATAATCTCTCCACTTCCTGTCAGCGGAAAACGATTAAAACGTAGCAATCTCGTTTTGGAGGCTTTAAAATTAACAAGTCGTTCCCTGTCCCTGCTAACAAGAGAAAGTAGATCGTTTTTAAGATCAGCTGCCCATTTGACGTTAATAGAACCGATTAGACTTACAATTAAGATAGGAATAAATGGTTGTTTCATCGACACAGATACTGAGTTCAGAAATGATTCCATCAGGAACGTCGTTGATGGAAATTAGTAACAACGTAGATACAAGCATAGATTCCTGCATTAATGCAAATCGATCGAGACGGCTGTCATTTGTTCACTTATACATGCCAAGTAGTTTACTCGCTGCTTTTCCCTGCTTCTCTTCTTTTCAATATATCCTGTGGGGGGATATTAGAACAACCAAGATGAGAACACGAGTTAAAACAAATCAATGCAGAATTAAAAATGAATTACTCGAGAAAATTGTAACTGAGAAATTTATTCAAGCCATTAGAGATAATTGCGGCCCTAACGCCTGAGTAAATACAATTTATTCAACGAATCAATAAAAAATTTTGAAGACGCATCAAATTTCACAGTAATAAATTTACGATCAGATTTCTGTAAATTGGAAACTTTAATTTACCTTGGCTCTTTTAAACACCGTAATTGTTTCTTCAGTTTAGATGAGGCGAAATGTAAGAAAGTAGAAATATCAGGCTACGCTAGCCTCTTCCCACTTTGAAAATCTGCATTAGAAGTCCTGGATTCTACTGGGGATCGAACAGCCACCAATAGCGAAGGCGGGAAATAGAAATCTGTCTCAGTCACTAGACTTGCGTAAACCAGCTTTCGGCCACATCACGCTGAAACACCTGTTCCCGTACGATCACTGAAGTTAAGCAACGTTGAGCGTGGTTAGTACATTGATGGGTGACCGCTCGAGAATAACAGATGCTATAAGCTTGTGTCGTATAATGGATAATGGCTCGAAATTGCTGATCCGAGTTCCAATTCCAATTGGGTTCGTTATATTCACTTACGCGCAAATACTCTTGAAAATGGTATGAATCCACCTCTTCTCCCTCTAGCTGTGGGTTAATTAGTAAGACTTGTAGCTCTAAGACCAAAAATAACCAGCATTTTCAGTAACCCATAGATAGTGATATGCCCCTAAACAACTACAACCAATCAAGATTGTTTATATAAATGGTAAGAAAATCCGGTTGTGGAAATGCGATCAAAAATTGTTGCACAAATTTTCCAATTCAGGAATTCACTTTTACTTTGAGAATCAGCATCAGAAATGACGGCTTTGACTTGGGTTCGAACTACGTCTTCTGACTCTAAGAAGGAAACAATATACACCGACCTAGCCGGGTAAACTCCTATTGCAAACAGACAGTTTCTCTTTGTTTTTGTATATTTTTTGTTTATTGTTTTTTTTTTGTTTTGTTTTTTCATATTAGTAAATCTCGTGTATAAGTCGATATTTGACTTTGGGGCAATACATTATTGTCTTAGGTTATTGAAATACAACTAAATAGATAAACGGTAAATTCTGTCTGTCCGTCCTTGTGTCTGACAAAGCCTCTAACTCGTGCCACACTTGTTCTAAATAAACATATTATATTTTTTTGGAATCAGGATGATCCCAGGATTGATAATCTGCCCTTCATCTGCTGCTTGAACATCCATCATTGGGATTTGTGTCCGGATGAAGAAGGAACAGTTAAAAATTCAAATTTTAAAATAATTGAAAAATCAGTGATTTTAAAAGTTCTTCATTTATATTGAGTTTAAAATAACACAAAAGCTTTATGAATTTTACATTTGTTGTTTTAAATTCAGTTTCAAATATCTCCAAAATTTTGTGAATTGAGGAAATCAATTTTATTTCTTCCAAAATGACAAGGAATCAAAGTTAAAATAAGAGGTTTCGTGATGTGAGGTTTTGATGTTCTACAGAGTTTGTGATTTGAAGAACTCAGTTTTTCGTCTGAATCGAAGTTTCGACCCAATTCGGTCTTTTAGTCGGAATTGAAATTAGAGCTCGAATCAAAGTTAAAGTCAAGTTTTGAAGTTCCATGTTTCTTTCAAAGTAATTTCTTGTCTCTAATTTGCACAACTTCTTCTATGGACCGTGTCCATTCAGAACGTGGGCAATCCTGGCTCTCTACAACTTCCTGTCCTTTGTAGCTCTTAGTAACGTTTACCTTTTTGCTGTCCTTCCAAATCCATCTTCTACCATTCCTTTACATAAGCTTATCAATTAGTAAATCTAAATACTTCATATAACTCGGCGTGTGGATGGCAAATTAAGTATAGGAGAAAAAGAAAATGAATATAGAATAGACTGTGCCAGAGGTAGCTTCGGCCAATATCTCATTCAGAAACATCTAAAGAATCAGTTGTCTAAAAACGGTTTCTAAGATCAATGGCAAAAAAGCTTTTTCTGAAAATGGTCAAAAAAGTCTGAGTTTCTTGACAAAGATCGTCTTTCCTTTATTATTGTGGACTAGAGTTACAGGATCACGAAAAACTACCAACAACAACAACAACTAAAATTAAAATCACATTTAACTCCAACAGAAAATAATCTCTATCTATAAAAGGCAGGATGTGTGTGTGTGTGTGTGTGTGTGTGTGTGTGTGTGTGTGTGTGTGTGTGTGTGTGTAACGAATGCACGGCCGCAATTTTCGACGGATTTGCATCAAATTTTACATGCACATGCTCCAAGTTAGCGGGAAGTCCAAAACCGACATTACATTTCCCAACTTCCATCGATAGTGGAAATAATCGATTTTTTCATACTTCTACAGCAGTTTTCATGTAGTTTGCAGCCATTTTGTACTGGCCAGAGTGAGAACCAATAGCTGGCTGCCACGAATAGACAGGAAGATTCTATTGGCCAGCGTGAGAGCCAACAGCTGACTGAAATGAATATTAACTAGCATGCAAAAAAAAATCGATAGCTGCATTCGTCACAAGTGGGAAAAATTTAAATCTGCATGGCACTTTACTCCAATTGGTTCATTCGCTTGCTTAAATTCAACGTTGATTCTGATTCTGCAGAACTGGGTTGAGTGTGAAAAAGTATTTTTGTTAACATTCTTTTTTCATTCGGTTTTTTGCAGTTACGAGTCCTTTTTTTAAAGCTGATCGTTTTGTGTTCATTTTGTTTAGTTCTTTTTTCGTAACAGATTTAATGTTTAGTATAGAGCTTAGAAAAAATTCGCAGTGTGAGATAGGCAAGAAGTAAGGCATGTAGCAACATCAGCACGGCAAAGGGCACTCCTTTAAAGGCAAGGAAGGGCAAAAATATTTTAAGTCAAGTGATAGCGATTGCTGTATGAGTCGTACGATTTTTTACTCAAGCACGGGCAACGCCGGGCCATACTGCTAGTCAGGAATAAAGCAAAAGTAGACAAATACATTACTTCGAAAAATAAACAAATTATGGAACAACAGCACAAAAACAATGATGGTGAAAAGATTTTTTTTCTATCTGCGATGGAATTTTGATGTACGGCGAACGAGTGGTAATACCAGGATGGCTGCAAAAAGAATATTAAAAAAAAACTTCCATATCGATCCCCCCCCCGCGGTATATCGAACATGAAAGCTTTAATGAGAAGATATGTTTCTTATCCGAATATGTACAAAGAAATTAAAAAAAAATGTAAAATCATGCAGAGTTTGTGCGATGGCGACAAAGGCCTCACCGGTGAAATGTTCCCCTTGGCCAAAGGCTGCATTAGACCTTGGGCAGGGCAGTATATAGATTTTGCAGGTTCAATAAAGGGACGGTATTATCTAATTGTGGTTGACAGTTTCTCGAAATGGCCAGAGGTGATGAAATGTAAAAATCCTACGTACAGTGATACAATTAAATTTTTGCATGAACTCTTTGCTAGATTCGGAATCCCGGATGCGATTGGGTTGGTTTGTTTTGTTTTACGGCACATCAACACCTAAATGGGTTATTTAATGTCGACAACATTTTTAGGATAGATTTGTATGAATAGAATATGTATTCTTTGGTTTAGATTGGTTTGGTTTATTTTGTTTAACGGCATATCAGCCATAATGGGTTATTTAATGCCGACAATATTTTTATTGTTGATAATATTTTGTTTTGTCAAAAATCTATTTCTGGCAATAATTTTTTTCCTTCAAAAATGTATTGCTGGTAATATTTTTTTCGCAGTGTGAGATAGGCAAGAAGTAAGCCATGTAGCAACATCAGCACGGCAAAGGGCACTCCTTTAAAGGCAAGGAAGGGCAAAAATATTTTAAGTCAAGTGATAGCGATTGCTGTATGTGTCGTACAATTTTTGAATCAAGCACGGGCAACGCCGGGCCATGCTGCTAGTGACATAATAATGTTAACATTCCACACCACTTCAAATAGAAGGTTCGGAAGAAATCCCTGCCAATATTAGGAAGAGTGATAACAGCTACTGGACTTGAGAAGCCTAAAAAAAAAAAAAAAAAAAAAACGGATTATAAATTTCAACTGAAAATACTACTGCCTTCTCAGTCAATGAATGCAAAATGTTTCCTTATACGGAAACTCGATTATTATCATTACCATGAGGTAGGTTACCAGCTAGTTTTCTGTGTTCCTCTTGCTTTCATTACGCCTTGTGTATGCTAAATTCTCCATGAACTCTTTCCTTTATATATCATCAAAATTTCAACTATCTCTTTCTGATTTTAGATATAAGCGTCTTTTTGTTCCTATCTTCTTTAACACATCCTAGTTACTCACATGTTCCGCCCAAGGTATTCTTTGCACTCTTCTATAGAATCACACATCTGTTCCTTTATGTCTTCTTCAATTATGAAAATATTGTCCAAGAGATCTTATATTAAATAATAGTTCAGCACTCTTGTTTCTTCTCCTAACGTAATTTTCTTGTTTCTTTACACTTTGCTTAGAATTTGCAAGGCAAATTTTGCTATTCCACTGTGCTTTCAGATTTCTTTCTCGTATTTCAGATTTTCCGTTCCCCTGTTAAAACACTCCCCAATTATTTAAATTTTCGTATCTGTTTGGGTTTGGCATCTCCACTTCTCAACTTACTGAAGCCATTACTCCTGTTTAACCTGAATATTTTGAATTAAAAAAAAAACGTTTTCAACATGATTCTCGGCGTATTTATTAAGGCAAATGTCAAATTAATTCAGTTAAAAAAATTCATTCAACCAAACAGATAGATATAAGGAATGTGAATTTGATAGCGTTTAAGATTTTAAAAGCTTGTGAACACGAGAAAGTGGATTATGGTCAAGTTACTACGAATTAATATTCTAGCTGAAAAATCGTCATTCCTGGGTATGACGATAAACTACATCCGCGTCCTGGGTAAGACGATAAACTTCGTCCAGCAGCAAGTCCTCTGATCAGGAGGTTTTGAGGAGCATTGCTGATGTTCCCAGGTCCACCCTGACACGGAGTGGTAGCACCTGTTAGGGTCCCAGCTATGGGCAATAGTAACTCCTAAACTGGGGTCAAAACATTATGAAAGTGTAAAAATAGTTTTTAATACCCTAAATACTTTGTAAAAAACTTATCAGTAATAAATTTTTGAAGTAAGAAAACTATTACCAGCAATACATTTTTGAAAAAATATTACCAACAATGTTTTTTTTTTAAAAAAAAAAGTATTGCTGGCAATGCATTTCTGAAAAAAAAATATTACCAGCAATGTTTTTTTTGAAAAAAAATTATTACCAGCAATACTTTTTTGACAAAACAAAATATTACCAGCAATAAAAAAAAAAATTGTGGGCATTAAATAACCCATTGAGGTTGACATGCCGTAAAACAAACCAAACCAAACCAAAACTGAAAAATCGCTCTAAAGGCGAGGTTTTAAACCAACACTTACGGAAGGCCTAAATGGTCACATTTTGTTTCAATCACACCCACCCAGTAATACGGGAATGCCACTA